GAGTCCTAGGTTGGGAGAGCGCATGGGCGGGTTCTGTGTTTTTGCAGCTCTCCCCCACCACCAAACTGAGTGTCCTCAGACGAGTCATAACGACCACATCTCACGCCAAAACAGTATCAATGTAACAATCGGGTGTCTTCGGGAACTAATTAGAAATGTTTGTTTACCTTTTCCAGGTACAATGACTTTTCATTTCTTTCCAAAGAGAAAAAGAAAAAACATCAGGGGCATCTACAGGACCTGTGATGAGCACTGAACTTATTTTGGTCTATCATTTGATCACAACAAAAATTCAAATTCTACCCTCTTTGCCCTCTGGAGGCAAAGACTTGGTCACGAACGTGAAACTGCTGAAAACAATCCTTAGGTAATCACGGATTAGGCGATACAACTGGGACAATCTTTGGGATATGGGGCAATAAACAGTGAGAAGTGCAAAACTGGTTGAAATTTTTTATTTAAACTATGTCCCATGAAGAGTCATTCTAGGTATGTTCAGCATGATGGAGATGCTTGACGATGTAATTCTCCATGTGACTTCCAAAGGTCAAGGATGTCCCTTCCCATATTTTGCTGATCTTTAGGAAGAGCAACAGTCCTCAACAACATTTTTAGCACTTAACTAACTCCTGACCTGTTAGATACCAAATTTGACAAGTTCATGGTCCCACAACATAGAAGAATGACGTTGTGAACCAAAGGAAGAAGTTATGAGAGTTTTATTAGAAATAAGGAGAGAATAATAACTTTTGAAATTCCACGACGGATTTGAATGGATTGGCCACTGAGGCCCTTTGTAAGAGGTAATTTATACAGCAAAGTTACAATGTGGATACAACATGGATCAAACTACAGTTAACCCATAGGATTATAAATATAGCTGCTTAGCTAATATTGACCCAATAGGGAAACAGGTAATGTAGTAAGGATACATGGAAAGTAACACAGGCATTTTTGGGAAGAGACAGAGGTCCAGATGTTGTGGTCACCCAGCCACCTAGGCAACTGGTGCCTATCTGGACTTAATGGTCTAAGAGGTACTAACTGCAAAAAAACTCAAGATAAGGCTTAGGAAGGCATGTAGGCCTAGCCATTGCATCTTTATCTTGGACCTGACCTTCAGATGTGCCTCTGGCCACAATTCTAATATCTTTATTTTTCACTTCCTTAAGATCCCAGTCCTGTTCTGACTGTATATTAACTTCTCTCTAATTTAGCTGCCTATAATACAGGGACCCGTTTCATGGAAGACAATTTTTCCACAGAAGGGGAGGGGCGTTGTGGGTTTGGGGGTTGGGATGACTCAAAGGTATTTCATTTATTGTGTACTTTATTTCTATTATTATTATATTGTAATTTATAATGAAATAATTATGCAACTCACCATAATGCAGAATCAGTAGGAGACCTGAGCTTGTTTTCCTGTAACTAGATGGTTCCATCTGAGAGCGAGAAGAGACATTGACACCTAAAGTGTGTTATTTATGTCCAGTCTACTCTGAATCTTGATTTGATTACTGACACTGCAGAAAACCCTGTTACACAAAGACAGATAGTATGTGGAAAATGGAAGGAGGCTTTTCAGTGCCATTGTGGCAATCTCAGACTATTCCACTTTCACTTTAATCCAAAATGTATGAAGATTCTAAGTTATCTCAAACGTACTTTCAGGGCATTATCTTAGTCACTTTCTCAACACTGGGACTCAATACCCTACACTAACAAATGAAACCGGGAGAACTTTATTTTGGTTCACATTTTTTAGAGGTTTGGGTCAATAGTTGGCTGGTTCCAGGGCAGAAGTGGGGGAGGGGCTTGATGAGAAAAACTGCCCCCCTCAATGGCAGTTGGGAAGTAGAGATGGAAGGGAGGAACTGGGGAAGGAGATGCACCCTACCAGGTCACACCCCCAGTGAACTACCTCTTCCAACCAGGTGATCAGGCACCAGCTGTGAGGAAGAAGGCCCTCCTTCAGTCTCTTCTAAAAAAAAAAAAAAAAAAAAAGCTCAATTGCCTGGTGTGATTCCATCCTGCACATCTGTTCTCTGCGAGCAGTAGCTGTTTATTTCCATCCCGGTTCTCCCCCACCTGAGTGTATGCCATCACTACGTGGAAGACTGGATGGATATGGACGTGAGTCTCCTGAGGCCCCGGAACTACATTTTCATTGTGAACTGAAGGCCAAAACAGATTGTCACTTTATGGTGGATAATGATGAAAATAAGCATCAGTTGTCATTAAGAACAGTCAGGGGGCCAGGGATTTAGCTCAGTGGTGCTGCCACTGCCTCACAAGCACAAGGACTCGAGTTCGATCCTCAGTACCAAAAAAAAAAAAAAAAAAAAAAAAAAAAACCAAAAATAGAACCCAAAAACAAAAAAAAAAAAAAAAAAAAAAGAAGCCAGATGTAGTGGCGCACATCTGTAATCCCAGCACTCGGGAGGCTGAGGCAGGAGGATCACTGTGAGTTCGAGACCAGCCTGAGCTCCAGATCAGTGAGTTCCAGCTACATAATGAGACACTTGCGCAGGCAATGAATTACAAAGGCAGTCCAAGTAAAGTAACACTAGAAACTGTGAAAATGTCTGTACAGCCAATGGTTTCCCTTGGGGCGGGGGTTGAAATTACACCACCTGTTGCTTTAAGGTGGAAGTGTGGTACAGGGCCTGTGCATATTAGTGGACAGCACTGAGTAGCTATGGAGGAAGATTTAGAATCAGATGTTGAGGAAGAGTTTAAAATAAACGCTTAAGTATATCTGGAAAGCGATCTGTCCCTGGAAGTGGTAGCAAGGTCCGCATAAAAAGGTCAAACTCGGGCCGGGGATTTGGCTCAGTGGTTCTGCCGTCTGCCTTGCAAGCGCAAGGACACGAGCAAGGACCCAAGTTCAATCCCTGGTACCAAAAAACAAAATAAAACAAAACAAACAAACAAAAAGTAAAACTAGGTCCGGCGGACATCTTGTGGTGGTGTCAGATGGAGCCCCCTCAGCCCGGGAGGCGCTGGATGGGGCGGGCGGAGGCCAAGGCAAGGCCAGGCGAGGAGCCCCGCCCTCTGGCCTCTGGCGGTGTCTGAGGGGCTGGGAGCCAGGACCATCCAATCGCGGCCGACGGAGCACATGCGGATACCGAGGGCCTGGACAGCAGGAACCAGGGCGTTGAAGCGGATTAATAAGGAATTTAGAATTTGGCCCGGGATGCTCCAGCACAATGTTCTGCAGATCCAGTTGGGGATGACGTGTTCCACTGGCAAGCCACGATTATGGAACCTAATGACAGCCCATATCAAGGTGGTGTATTCTTTCTGACAATTCATTGTCCTACAGACCACCCCTTCAAACCACGTAGGGTTGCATTTACAACAAGAAGTTATCATTCCAATATAAACAGTAATGGCAGCATTTGTCTCGCTATTCTAAGATCACAGTGGCCTCCTGCTTTATCTATTTCTAAAGTTCTTTTATCCATTTGTTCAGTGCTGTGCGATCCAAACCCAGATGAGTCCCTGGTGCCAGAGATTGCACGGATCTATAAAACAGAGACAAGTACAACAGAATGTCTCGAGAATGGACTCAGAAGTGTGCCATGTGATGCTACCTTAAAATCAGAATAACCTGAATTATAGCTGGAATAAACTTTAAATTGCTGTTCCTTTTTTGATTTTCTTATCCGGCTGCTCCCCTATCAGACCTCATCTATTTTACTTTTATTTTTTGTTTACTTCCCTCCATTCATTCACATGCTCCTCTGAGAAGACTTAAGTACTTCCAGCTTTGGACAATAACTGCTTTTAGAAACTGTAAAATAGATACAAGAGAACAGTTGCCCAAGATTCAGATTTTTTTTAATGGAGCATGTGTATTATGTGGCCAATGTCTTCACTCTGACTTGGTTATGAGACTTAAACCATTCCTCACAGCTCTAACTGCTGAAGAAGTCAGCTGAGGGGGGAAGATGGATGCTTGGTTGTCACAGCGAGGAAGCAGCATTATTTTAGCAGCATTCGTTCCTGTTAAGCTTTCCACTGTTAGAAATTTGAGGTTACATGATATACTTTGTGCTCATAACTGATGTGGCTGGAGAATTAGTATTGAATTTATAGCATCAGCAGAACAGAAAATGTGATGCATTGTATGCATGTCAGTAAAGGAATGATGACCTGTTCTTGTTCTCCGAGAATGGAAACAAACTCAAACACCCTTTGTATTGCAAAATAGGGTCGCAAAACATTTTGTGATTTTAATTGAAATTGTTAGGAGGCTTGGAGCTATTAGTTAATCTATCTTCCAATACACTGTTTAATATAGCACTGAGTAAACAATGCAAGTTGCCAATGGATGAGTGATCAACTAATAGCTCTGCTAGTAATTGATTTCTCTTCAATAAAGTTGCATAAACCAAACAAAAGTAAAACTAGTCGATGATGACAATGATGATAAGAGAAAGTACCAGGGAAGAAATTGATACAAGATACTCCAGCCAAAAATGCACAAAAAACAATCCAGAATGGAAAAGACACAACCATCAACACCAAGATCAAAAGGCCAAGAA